GTGACAGGATTGATAAGCAGTGACTAAATGTAATTTGTGACTATACTGCAACTTGTTAGTTATGAAAAGCCAGTTTTTCTATTGCAAGCTTCCCAAAGAGATCCTTGATGCTCAGTCTGCTGCTAATAAAAATAGCTTGACTGAGTACTGCAATTGTGTATCCGCTGTAGTAAAAGTTACTTTCACCAGCAAAGTAATTATAGACACTAAGCTGCACTGGGACATAGTGTATAAACTGAAATTGATAAAGAATGCTAATAAATGACAGATGGTAAACGATTCCTGCACCTGTAAACCGTATGTTTTCTTTATTTCAGCAAATTACTAAACTTGTGATTGATAGGACAAGTGTGCCTCATAATGCATCAGGGCTGTTGATGTTTATTCTGCTAAAAAAAAAAGCTGCTTTACCAGAGGTCAGTAGGTGTACCACCATGGAGGGAGACCTGTTTATTTTTTTCTGCCCTCAACATACTGTAGTGAGCCTGCTTACATGTTTAAAAATTGGTGAACGCAATCCAACTTATAAATCAAAAAAAATCTAAAGCAGCATTAAAAAAATCAAAACTCCTGGTATTAAAACCAAAAAAAAGCTGCACAGTTCTCCCTCCCCCCCCCCTTTCTCCTCCACCCCCCTTGAAAGGTGGCCATACACCTTACAACCATTGTACAACTTTTTTTGTCCAGACATCTCGCCTTCAATTTTTTTACAACTAGCACATCATGCACAGATCAATGTAGTTCGCAATTAAAGCTCTTCAGCACCACCACCTGGCGATTTTTCATCAATCAAAAGGCAGTTTTTCATTTGAGGATGTGCAGTTTTCATCTGGAGATTTTTGTTGTACAACCACGTCACTAACCTGTCAATTTTCGTCCAACTAGACAAAAGTTTTCTAGCCTGCTTGAAAGACAAAGATCTGCTGGTTGTACAGTTATTGAGGTTGTGCACTTGCCATTAACTGGCAGATTTTCGGACAAAAATCGCAATCGCAGACAAAAATCTCCAGATAATTGTAAGGTGTATGGGCACCTTAACCCGTAAAGTTCACCTCAAGCTACCCCACAAACAGCTTCATGGTTTTAATGAACTGTCCATACATGAGTACATATATATGTATATAATTATGTGTGTGTGTACATACATACATACATACATACATACATACATACATACATACATACATACATACATACATACATACATACAAACAATGCTCCTTTATAATAAGTAATACAGCTGACACCCACCTTTTTGAGCTTTTCTCTAGCTATCGTCAATGGAGCTGTAAATCCTACTAGCTCCTGGATTGGACAGGGGGGGGTGGCTGAGTTCGGAATTGATGTCATCATAATCTGTAAAGTCTAATTACAATCCCCAGTGATCCTCATAATAAATTGGTGAGACTTTTTAGACATGGTTATGCCCATTTTGTGGTTTCTGGCCAACTGCTTTTATCTTCTATGGCACATATAGCATACAGGGCAACATGCATTCACTTTGCTGTATTTGCTAGCTCATAATCTTAATAAGAATATCCCCCTTATACACGCTATACAAATCTTTGTGATTGTTAAGGGCACCTTCTTGTCCTTTCTGATCCCTGGAGCCCACCAGCACTTGTTTCTTTAATTGGCACGTCATTTGTTGAGAAATTGAGAGAAGTCTAAAGGTGCCCATACACCTTACGATTATCGGACGAAACTTTTCGTCCGCTGATCGAACAGTCGTACGATTAACACTGCGCATGCGCAAACGAAAATAATTGCGGTCAATTACCGCAAGTCGTCCAGGTGTTTTTTTCTAACTACCGCTGATTGAACCTTGCGATAATCGGGGCAGGAGGGGGCCGTCGTACGAAAATCGTACGACTGTTCGATCAGCGGACGAAAAGTTTCGTCAAAAGTCGTACGCTTAACACTGCGCATGCGCAAACGAAAATAATTGCGGTCAATTACCGCAAGTCGTCCAGGTGTTTTTTTCTAACTACCGCTGATTGAACCTTGCGATAATCGGGGCAGGAGGGGGCCGTCGTACGAAAATCGTACGACTGTTCGATCAGCGGACGAAAAGTTTCGTCAAAAGTCGTACGCTTAACACTGCGCATGCGCAAACGAAAATAATTGCGGTCAATTACCGCAAGTCGTCCAGGTGTTTTTTTCTAACTACCGCTGATTGAACCTTGCGATAATCGGGGCAGGAGGGGGCCGTCGTACGAAAATCGTACGACTGTTCGATCAGCGGACGAAAAGTTTCGTCCGATAATCGTAAGGTGTATGGGCACCTTAACTGCTGCTTAATTGGACACCATGAGCAATTACCTGCTTCTGTGGGGAGGTATAATGATGTGTTCAGGAATAAGTTTGGAGAAACAAAATAGTTATTGTAAAGCATTGATCATAGACAAGTGCCTTCATTTAAATGCATCCAGTCGTTTTCTTGTGTGTGCTGAAATGACCACTTGCTTAGCCGTTGTCTTCCCGCCCTGATAAAAGCTTTCATTGTAAAAATCCCAATGATTTTCTTTACTGGAACAATATTGTGTTTTTCTTGGACTTTGTAACGTTCCTGAGTAGGGGTTTGCATGAAGCCAGTAACAAGGTCACATTATTAGGTTTGAGTAATAGACAAAAAAATAATTGAAGGTGCAGTCCCTTTTTGGTAAATGTTGGAAGGTAAAACCACCAGTGTTTTCTGATCGTTCCGGTCCTGTTTTAGTGAGATCATTGTGCTTTACCTTCCGTGTCTGTATACCCGCTGTTGCCATTATGAGGAGGATATCACTCCCTGTTTAATTTTCTTTTTTGTAATTACTATTATTACTATGAATAATAAATAAATTACATGAAGATGCTGAAGAGAAACAAAACGATCTATTCAGGGATTATCCAAGTCGTATAGGAATCCAGGGGCATAGTTAGCCTACAGTGCTCCACCTATAACAAAAATATATAATTTTTGGTTAAACTGGTCTTTTTCATTGTTCCAGAGCCTTTGTGTGATCAGTGTTTTTGTCTGCTTTGGTATCCGTTCAACGTGAAATATTGGGCAGAGGCAACATTTCTAGTTGAATCCCTAGCTGTTTCTATTGTATTGTATGGCCACACAGTGCTTGCAGCTGATTGGCCAAAGATTTTCCAAACTATTCCTTCTCCAAAAGTTGATCTAAGGATCGACTTCTGCCGATGGAATAAGGTCAACAATGCAACGAAATTTGGCGGATTCCTGCTGAATCGGCTAAAATTCACTGCGTGTGTACTCTACTATAGTATATGTGGCTAGGTTAGGTGGGTTAGTAAGGGACTATTATCACTTTCCCCTAAATGGGTATAGTAACATCAACACATCTACAATGGCCCTTAAGTTGGCCATACACTGGTAGTTTTTTTTTGTTTTTTTTAACGAATGTTCATACATAAAATCATCTCGGTACATTCGATAAAGCCATCAGAGACTTGATGAATGTTGTTTGAAATTTAGTTTGATCTTTACGTTGCTTTTTTTTTTTTTTTTTTTTTTTTTTTTTTTTTTTTTATTGAATGCAGTTTCCCAAAAAAGAAAATCACATTTACTGTTAGAATTTTGTTCATTCAAGTAAAAAAAAAAAAACATCCTGCTTGTTCAAAAAATTTTTTTTTGTATTTGTCCCTGTGGTCAATTTTACCCCATTTACTGATGTATGGCCAGCTTTATACATCATGCAGTTGGTGTTACTTAGTGGGCATGTTTTTATGAACCCACAGACTGTATCACCATTCTGCTTCCGGACGGCTTGGCAAAAGCGAAGAAGTTTAAGCCAGTATTTCCAGGGTGACTACAGTCAGGCGTTGACTAGTACTCTCCTAGAAGTAAACATTACAGTATTTTTATATGTTTTTGTTTGTATTATTTTGATAAGGGAATTGCAGTTCTCAGTTTTGTTTCTTGCTCTTTAGTCTTGGCAGACTGGGATTCTGAGATAAACAGCTAAACTTGTGAGTGTCAGCTCGCTGAGAGTGAATTATTGGAAATGGCAGATAACTGGGCTGACACAAGACCAGCTACTGAGTCTGCAGTTTAAATAGTTTATCTTAAAATCCAGAGCAGGGCAGGATGTGAATCCTCTCTACAAAAATATCAACATCATAAAGCGGAAATTGATGTTTTTTTTTCATTTTTTAATGGCTTTGCTGTGTTTTTGATTGTTCATAAAAATGTTTTGGAGATGCAAATTAATGGGGGGGGGACCTGTTTTATTTTGAGGATGAATTTTTGAAATACATTCTGTGATAGATTTTAAAAAATGCATGTTATATTTGTCAGCTAAAGAGGGGAAGTATCTTCTGTATAACAGCTCTTTTCTAGTTGTATCTTATGTGGTCACAGCAGAGAATTTTATTTATATAGCCTATTTGAGGACAGCTCCACAAATAGCTTCCCTGTGCGTGTACAGTGAGTATTATAAATGTAGACTTGGCAGAAAGTAATATTGCCAGTGCTTCCTCTTTCTATTCACATATCAGAGCAGACGGTGAAATGATGATATTATGCAGGCCGGTACATGAAACTGCTTAAGCGCAACCACTAGTTGCTGTTCTGATGCATACAAGGGTTAATGTATGAAAGTGCGCCATCAAGGACGTTTCTTGTTGACCATGACAAGCCTTCACAACTCTTGTTTCGTAATCTACCCTGCTGTGATGGAAGCTGATTGGTTGCTTTGGTCATCATGAAACGTTTTTGTGTTCATTTAAACCCCATAGAGTTCTAAATGTACTTCCAACAAGTGGCAAACAATCCAGAGCACTTGACCCACATTAAATGAGTGCATAGACTGAATCTGTGTGTTGTTGACTGTGATGAGAACTGTGAAATTAAGTAATTGTAATCTGGGAGCAGTATGTGTGTAAGTTTGCTTGCTATGCCACTACACAAAGGTCACTTTCTTACATTAAATCAACTAAAACAGTTGACATTTGAATTTTTCTTTTCTGAGCTGTCTTTCTTAATGCATCTCTTGTTCTTTCTAGTCACAAACCATGAACTATGTTGGGCAACTGGCCGGGCATGTCCTGGTTACTGTGAGGGAACTGTATAAAGGAATAAACCAGGCTACCCTCTCAGGCTGCATCGATGTGATCGTGGTCCAGCAGCAAGATGGCACCTTCCTGTGCTCACCTTTCCATGTCCGCTTTGGGAAATTAGGAGTTCTTCGGTCCAAGGAAAAAGTGGTAAGTAAATGCTGCTTGGTTTAGGTACTTGCTATTAGTCAAAAGCAGACTTTTCACATAAGTTTGAACTTTGCTTTCTTCCTTTTTTCTCATATTTAATGGATGCTATGATGGATTTTCTAATTATTTCTACAAATTGGATAGCTATGGTGCTATTATTTTTGCTTTGGTTCTTAAAGGCCCAGCCATTTGTAGGTGCTCTGTTGTGGTACATTGCTAACGCATATTAACGCAACGAAATGAGAATCAGCTCCGGTGTCTTTTGGCTGGAGCTCCTCTGCTATCTGCCCTGTGTAGTTGCTGTCTGAAATGTGCGTCCTAGCTGACTTGCATGAAGTCTGCAGAGCTCATTTGTCTGCACATTTCTCTTAAAAAGCCCGCCCCCTTTTTTCTCTCGATGTTGTAAGCAAGAAACTGCTACCAAAATTTAAAGAATGAAAGTATATATTCAGAACAAAAAACATCATAGAAGAATGTAAAAATTGCCTACTCTAATCTTCTCTCCTTTTTACTCTATTCTCATCTCTCTATGTCTACTCCTTTTCCTTTAGTCTATACTCTATGCTGTTCTTAATTCCGGTCACAGTTGACGTTATGTTATTTCTCAGATGACACTGTGATTATGTTCCCAGGCATTTATTCATTTCATCATTGCTTGTCAACTGTATGCGATTTGTGTATTATATACTGGAACGTTTTCTTTTTACTTTGTCTTTTATATTATAAAAAAACTTAAACCTTTGATAAACTAGAATAAAAAATGAAATTGAAAACTAGAGAACTTTATGTTAAAACAATGGTATCGCTCACTACAAAACCAGAGCAACTTTTATTATATAAGCACGTACAGGAAACTATCTAAAATGCTGATTCTATTCCCACATAATTGTGTGCCCTCCCAGCTCCTCAATGGGCCCTACTGACACCATTTAACGGAGATTATATACCCAGTAGTCCTTGCATTGGCAAACCAATATATGTCCACGACAAAAATCTGCAGAGCCTACGATGGCCTTGATCCCAAATAATCTGAGACCCCTTGGACTACTCCCATGTCTTACAGCGAAATGCCCAAGGGCCAAATGGTTCATCACACGCTTTAATTTAGTTCTATTTTGCTGCTCAAAACAGCCTTTAAGGGGGCAAGATATAAAACGAACCTAGATAAGTCCTTCTGGAAAAATCATCCCATACACCAAAATCATTTTCCTGAAGGTAATGAACTGCTATGGTGGGAGATTTGCAATCAGACCCTACTTTTTTGTGTTTTTTTGTTTTTATGGTGCCACGTGCTGCAAAGACCACAATTGTTTTACTCCACACTTCTATATCCCCCACTGGTCTGGGGTTTAACTCTGCTGGAAACCATTCAGATTCTTAGATGCTGTGGTTTCCAAAAAATCAACTGTTGGCCTATCTGGAAGGCATCTGTTCAGAATATGAGCTTTTAAAATTTTCGAATTGTGGCTCAAAACCATCTTGATATGAAAAGCCCTATTGCTACAATTGGTGCAAAAGTTGATCTTTTCTCTATTGCATTATCCTCCCCCCCCCTCCTTCTTACGTAAATCTCCTTTCTCCTCCATGCTTCAGTTTCATAAAGTCTTCTATCCAGCCCTCATCATATCCTTTTCTGTCTAAATTCCTCCATTTCTTTCCAATATAGTCTTCTATTTTAGCGCAAGTATGCTACAATCAGCAAAACTGTCCTACGTGCAAATTACTTCACCTTCGAGGGTGATGCCCACTAGTTGCATGTAAATAAGAACTGGCATGGGCTTGAAATGGGTTCTAGACAGAATTACCCCTTCCTTATCAGATGGCAACTCCAAATCAAGAAAAACAAGACTGGTAGAATCCACTACAAGTGAATGAGATTTCAAAGGGATTATTCTAGCAGTACATGATGAATTCCTGAAGGGTTTCAACAGACTTCGTTCCTAAATGATCAATATGTTGTCTGTTTACCTTTTGATACCGAGCCAAGTGTGCCACAAACTGATAATTCAAAATGTGGAATTATTCCCAATATCCCATTGAGAACCTGGCTCCCATCACAGTCCCTGAAACCTTTTATAGAAACCTTTTTATAGTAATCATCCAAAAATACAAAGTAATTCCTCAAGAACCGGCCAAAATTTGCAGTGTGTGGCCACTTTTAGTTTGATACAGATGTTTGAAGATGACACAACCAACGAGACCCCTCTTATAACCTTGCTTCCACCTGTGGTGTTACAAATCTTGAGTGTGGGGCCTGAATCTCTATCAAAAGAAGGCAATTGCACTTCCAATTCTTGTAGGAAATGATCTATGTAACATCCCAGATTACTACCTTACGTACCTTGGGGATGTGGTAAAGTGTCATTGGAAATGTTCTAAACTTGCTAGGTCTAAAATAATCTTCAGTTCTTCCTTACTTTGAACAATGGGATCTCCTTTCAATTTCTCATATGTGTATACATCCTCAAGAAGTTTCTAAGCTTCAGGTATGTTTCCCTATCTTGGATGACCAGCCCTCCTTTCGTGTTCCCCTGCCTTTATAAATATTCATTCTGTTTTAATGCCTGTAGTGCCTTTTTCTCCTGTAGAGGGCTGTTAGATTTTATCTTATTCTTGGCCCTTTACTAACCTGCGTAAACTCCAAATAGACATCTTTATTAAAGGTGGGAATTAAGTTGTACTTTGCCCAATGTGGATAAAAAATGGGTCCTGCATTAAAGTGTTAAGTGTACACTGTATCTCCTTCATTCGTCTTGTCTTTCAAAGCCAACTGCATTACTACTCCTTTTATAATTACCTTTCTTCCACAATTCCTTCAACATTTTAATATCAGAGCGTGTACAACTTCACCATTTATCATCTGTATTCTCACTCTTTTTATCTCCTTTCATCACATAATATCTCTTCAGCTTTGATTTGACGTGAAGGGAAATTTTCTAATGGGACACAGAAAACAACAAAAAAAATTCTATTTGACAGGGTTTTTATCCATTCCATTCTTTCTGCACATCTAAACAAAAAATGTTTTGGCTAAAGACATGCTCTTATTTTGCTTGTTGTCATTTTTGCTAACTAATTTGCCTATTCTAATAGTTTGTTTTGCTGGAAAGAAATGAATTCCTTTTTCTCTTGTGTGGTAGATCGATATAGAAATCAATGGAGAACCGGTGGATCTGCACATGAAGCTTGGAGACAATGGTGAAGCATTCTTTGTACAAGAAATTGAAGAAGAAAATGTAAGCGTCTTGGAAACTTTTCTTCCCTGTACTGTACAACTGTGTAGAAGCCTATTGTACAGTTTGTACTAGGGGGTTTACAGAAATAATGGGGAATACAATATAAAGGTGCAGGAAAATATGACTATGTAATGTATATACTGATAAGCAATTGAATTTCCCCTCCACTTTTCAGAAGGGCATCCTCACTTTTAAAGTAATAGACAAGTGCACAGCATTGACTAATTTGGCTATCCCCCTGGATTATAAATGTGCAGATAGCCCTTCTGAAAAGTGGCGGGGAAATTTACTAAAACCGGAGAAGACAGTCTGGATCAGCTTTGCATAGTACCCCATTGTGTTGCGATATATCTTAGTGGGGACTTAACTGGTTCGGTTAAGCATTGAAAATGTAACTTTGAAGCTGATTGGCTCTCAAGTACAGCTGCTCCAGATTCTGTCTGCCAGGCAGCAAGTCATTACACGGTGCCCGGCTTCCTGATTTGCCGGGAAGCCGGCTCCATGCTGCCTCGTGAGGCAGCATGAAGCCGACTTTCTGGCCAATCAAGAAGCCGCGGTGGCGGGTAATGACTTGCTGTCTGGCTTCCTGATTGGCCGGCTTACCGACCAATCAGGAAGCTAGGCAGCGAGTCATTACACGCTGCCCTGCTTCCTGAATGGCCGGTAAGCCGACTCAATGCTCCCTCGTCACTTGCCATGGAGCCAGCTTCACGGTCAATCAGGAAGCCGGGCAGCGTGTAGTAATGACTTGCTGCCCAGCTTCCCGATACCGGAAGCTCAGGTATCGGGCTAGGCATCGGAGCATTTGGGCGAGTACGAGCACTCATCCAAAAACTCAGTATTGGCACCGATACCAATACTAGTATCGGTGCATCCTTAATGTCCAGGTATTGGTATTTTATGCAAATACAACTGTATTTTTCTAAATGAAAGTTTGGCAAAAAAGGTTATTACATACTGGGTAGTTTTTTTTCACATAGGGTTACACTTACATTTTAGTCTGCAAAAGTATTCTTCCAAGTGCTGTATAACTGCAACTTATATACATCACTCTATCTGCAATTAAAAGTTAAATGGACACATGAGCTGTTCTTTAGGTTTTTGAGTTCAACGCACTAATGTGTGCAAAGTGCAGTAACATGCTGTAATGCAATGTGTAGGTGTGAACACGCCTAAAGCTGTGAACTGTTAGAAGAATATCTTCTATTAAGAGCATGGTGTCTTATGACTCCTCCATATAGGAATTGTAGAATTACATACAGACCTTGATCAGCATTGTAAGGTTCAGGCCATGATCCTGGTAGTATGTAGTTTTCCCTTCTTTCATGTTTTTTTCTTTTTCTTTTTTTCTTTTCTGTCTTTTGCAGGTCCCTGCATACTTGGCTACCTCCCCTATACCTACAGATGATCATTTTTTCAAGAACGTCCATAGCCACTTATCAAACTCCAGGGAAGGGGAAAGAGCTTCTCCATTGTCTCACACCACAGAACCTGAGAACATTAGTACAGGATCTGTGAAAAAGAAGAGGAGGAAGAGAAGGAGAGCTAAGCATGACAAGAAGGAGGATGTCCCCTCTCCCTCAGGAGTTGAAGAAATATTTGAAATGGAAATCAGCTCAGACGAGGAGAGTCCAGTTCATCCACCAAGGTAACATAACAGTTATGCCTGTGAAGGTTCTTGCTTATCTAGGTCATTGTATAGCCTATAGTAGATGGTCACAATCAACTGAACTTGTTTTTTATTGTTGAAGACATTTCACTAATTATTCAAGTAGCTTCTTCTGCTGAGTGTTAGGACCCAACATTTATAGCCACACAGGTAGCTCATTCACTTTGTACATTTAAAATCACCCTACATCTATTTCATTATAATAAAGAAAAAAAAAGAGCTAGCTTTGTAGCTCATTCATTTTGAACCAGTCACCATGGAAAGTATCCAGTCAGATGTTAATTGTTTTAGAATCTGAAGGGATCTGTGAAAGTCTATGAAACCCCCCTTTTTTTTTTATTTACATAATCCAGTCGCCATGTAATTCATATGCGCGATGATTGACACTGAGACACTGCTTGTATGTGTCAGTTAACTCTGCTGTTCTGTGCGGAGTTGCACTCGCTGACGCTCAGCACAGTAGCCAAGCTGTCACTGAGTGCTACCAGTCACCTTTTATGATTGGGATCCAGTGTGATGTGCTCTCATTCATGTGACTGCTGTGACAGCCAATCACTGTGATTGCAAATCCAAAGGATAAAACATTCTACAACCTATAGGGAACTGCCACCATAGTGGTATCGCCATATGCATAATTGGTCTGTTATCTTGGCGATTGTATTTGGGAGTTTGTAGACGTGTGTGGAGCTGGATTGCAGTGTGATTATTTCCAGCTAGAGTACCTGGGACTACAGAAGTGAGTTAGTGTGAACTGCATTTTGAACTGTAGTAGAGCAGTATCAATAGTACCCTTTAATGAAGGGAATTCATCAAAACTGGAACAGACAAAATCTGGAGCAGCTGTGCATGGCAACCAATCAGCCTTTCTTTTTCATTTTCAAATCTTAACTAAACAAAACTGTAAAAAGACGCAATTACAAATTTGCTAATATTTGTTATTTATTAACTCAATACAGTTTTATCTTTTAGATTTAGTCAGAAAATAATTTCTTTTGTGCACGGATACTGATTTTGGTGTGTTTTAACAATTGAATTGTGTATTTTTATCGGTTTAATATTAATTTGAGAAACATTTGCGCAATTATCGCAGGGCCTACAAATTTAGTATCACCATCTTTTTATTCTACCGGGCCTGCGCTTTCAGAAAATATATGGTTTGGGGGGTCTTTTACAAACGCTAGCAACGCAGCAGTTGAAAATCAAATCAATAGGAAAAAATTGCAGAAAATTAAAAAATGGCTTGGCCAGCTGATTTGAAAAATGTTCCGGAGGGCTTGGCAGCGAAAGGGTTAAAGGGCCTCTGGTAGTTTGTAGCAAGGGGTACATTTATGACTGAAGGTGTAAATTGTTAATTTGCCACAGTAGAGACATTAAAACTCCATTATATGTGGGTGAAAGATGGTTTCAGAGGTGTGACACCCACATCATATTGGAACAACTATAGCAGGGATGGTTATTCCAAAATGATGTGCGTAGCCTGTCACACTCTTGCGAACCAGTTGACTTCTCCGGGCCTAAATGTGCACCCCATTGTCTTGGAAAGAATACCCCCTTTTCCTTAAAGCTGAATTTCAGGTATAAATATTTTATATATATTTTGATCCAGCGTGGCCCAATGTAAGTAATAAATATAAATTTGATTGATACACACACACACCGGCCGTGGAGGTTCTGTAAAACATTGTTTTATCCAGTCTGTGAACACCTACTACTTTTATCAATCAATACGAAGTGTTCTCTAATTGAACAAGGAGTGGCGGTTGATTATTCAAAGGAAGTATTTCATAATGGAAGTAAACCACATGAACCTTTTGGGGTCCCCAGAAGCTCCTAGCATAATGTGCACGTATTTGCACATTATGACACTTAGCTTGCAATGTCCTTGTAAACTTCCCTCCTAAGTGATGCAATGTCTGCACTCTCTCTAGCCACTTCCTCAAGTGCACTTCCTTCTTCCCAGTGGCTCTTTGGTCATAAACTCAATAACCTCTTTAGGTTGTTCTGTTGAGTAGTTTGCAGTAAATAAGTAGTTCATCCACATGAGGACAGTTGTTTTGGAATTAGCTAATTGAAATCATTATTAATTGGCACGATTTTTGAAGTCTCCTATTCAAAACTGTTCTTTATTACAATATAAAGAATTGTGTATTGTCAATTACAATTGACAATACACACTCCTCTCACTTTGTTGCAGAATTAAAGGAAACCTGTCATGAGACAAGTATGGAAGCTGCCATTGATGACCTCTCCTTCTAATCTCACCTTGTTTTCATGCTGACTGCTGCTGTTTTTCTTACCTTGAGTAACAAAAATAGGATAAGTCTGCAGAGAAAGACTTCTGCGTTTTCACTGACTCTCCTGATCTGCAAACGTGTTCAGAGCCAGTGACTCAAAGTTCTGAAGTCAGCAGGTCATCATAAGAGATGGGTAATTACCACTTTTACAAGGAGGTCAGCAACAGCAGCCCCCATGTTGCTCTTAAAACAGATTTGAAATTTTTTTTTTTTAAATAACCATGTTACAGACATGGATATAGCAGACGTGTCTGTATGATGGAATCCCTACAGTACATTTAAAGGAGTGGTAAGTAGGGGGTATTATCACACATGTATGAAGAAAAAAAAAATAGGATGGCGAAGGAGACGCAAAAGTAAAATCACACTCCTTTTTTTTTTTCTAAAATGAACATAATATTTTATGCTGCCAATGACAGAAATACTGCTTGGTTGATTTCTACTTTTGATATGTATCTTGGTCTGTCAAGAAAGATATCAGGTATATGAATTTTGACTGGTATCATATTATGTTATCCTACAAGAGTTTCTGCACAGCCTATCCTGATTTGTTCCACATATACATGGTTTCAGAATGATCAATTTTTCAGAATAATTAAATTGTGATACATTTGGCAGCGTAAGGAAAAAGAGCTGTTATCTTTCCCCGAACTGAACACCCACACCATGTTAGGATGGCTTTTTATATCATCAAATTGATTAAATGTTCTGTTTAAAATGTATCAAAACATTTTTTCTTTTAAGTTTGCATAGAAGGGTTAGCAATCCTATAAAGAGTTAATTGATGTCCAGGTTCCTGTTGGGGGAGATTCACCTTCTTTGTTGGGGATTCCTGTCACTAGGTGTAAAAGTGAAGAGAACATTCCAAGTTGTCACCGGAATAGTAAGGCCTCGTACAGACGGGCAGCAGGCTCTACTGCCCTCTGAAAAGCGATCGTGTGGTGTATTGTTTTTCACAGGTCGATAGGGCAGCAACTGCCTGGCATTCAAGATGCTATACGGCCGCCTCCTAAATGCCTATTTATTTTTTATATCCCAAGGGGGATTTTTCATTGAACTACCACACTGCAATCACATGCCAAACATGGTCCCATTCACCTTTTCATGGTCACGTTTGGCAGGTGGCACTGATTGGAAAATGTGATATGTTGTATAGCTTTGTATCTAGCACTATCTGACCTCAACGCTAAAGGTGCCCATACACCTTACGATTATCGGAAGATAATCGTATGCGATCGACTTTTCGAACGACAATCGTACGTGTAAATAGAGTGCCCGAACCGACATTACTGTACAATCGTACGACTTTTGACGGTCAAGCATGTTTGAAAACTTTGCTTGATCGTACGATTGTCGTAAGGTTGCTGGCGTTTCCGTCCGTCAAAAGTCGTACGATCTACACTGCGCATGCGCGAACAAAAATACGACAAATCAATTACCGCATTTCGTCCAGGTGCTTCTCGTTAATTACAGCTAAATTAATCTTGCGATCATCGGGGCAGGATGGGGCTGTCGTACGGGGCAGGATGGGGCTGTCGTACGAACATCGTACGACTATTCGATCATCGGACGAAACGTTTCGTCCGATAATCGTAAGGTGTATGGGCACCTTAACATTGCAGTGGGCGTCACAGATTGACTGCCTGCTTTTACTGTCCCACAGCCACCTGTCTAAACAATCTAATTGAGTGAAACCTTTCATTGTGAACACTTGTTCCAAGGGCAGGTGATTTACCTCACTTTGGAGAGATTATTCCCTCTTGCTTCCTATCTGTTTTTATTTGGTAACTATTATTTGTATCTAGTGCACACTGTTGAGAATAAGGAAATGCATTGCACGCTCCTTACAAATAAAGAGAAGGCTTTCAAGGATCAGGTCGTGAAAGGAGTTGCTAGCATACTGGAAAAGATGTGTATATGTAATGCACCTCTCCTCTGGCCTACCTTTTGGTGAGCCTACACCAAGAAATATGGAGGATATCCATTGCTGAACTCTCATTTTGAAAATATTTGTTGCCTGGCTGTCCTGTACATGAAAATTGCAGGATCTGAGAGTAAATAGTTTAGAACAAGTCCCATTAAGTGCAACCAGACATAAGTTTTTCTGTCTTTGGCCTCATATGGAGCAGTTGGCTATTCTTTTCAGAAGGATGTCCGCAATGGCAGCCTCGGCACAGGTTTCCATCAAACCAGGCACACAATGAACCAAGTGTATTCAGTGCAAAGAACCCTCCACAATTCACCAGATCTACAAATCTTTCTGTGATTTTGTAACCACTTGTCAAATCATCTGTAGAAATATTTTAGAGAGGAACTCGTTGCTGTTTCCACATTGTTTTCCTCTTTTTAAACAGGCACACCCGTGAGACCTAGCTATAGGTTTGCTTTAAATGGGTACAGTGCTGTTGCCAACCACTAGATGGAGACATTTACAAAAAGAAAGCTGTGCGGTAAATCGATTTCAACAGTCTTAGAGTTTAAATTGTCCTTTTATTGGTTAACTTAAGTTATTAAAGGTAAATTCCAACTTTTGAAAAAAATAATTGCACGCTTGTTCATTAAAGAAAAAAATGTGCACTTATTATTATTTTTGTTGCATAGAAGGCAGTAAAGCATTGCAACTTCAATTAGAACACAGCGGGTGCATTGGTCTGGCTGTGTCTCCATGGACTACAGGTGAGGCGAGGGGTGTGAAAACCACATATTCAAACTCCGGAAGAGCAATAAAATATCACTATTTTGGAAAAAAATACAACTGTCTTTACTTTATACTCTTATGCAGAAATGTCTGTTGTAAAGGAATAGGCTTTAGAGATAGAGATCAGGATTGTTATTGGGGTAATTGACTCTGTGATCAGAAATCCAGGCTCAATCCTCACCTCAAATGATGGTTCTTTTTAAATGTCCATATACCGGCATTGAAATACAGCCCATAACACACAGCTATTTTTCTTGACGCACTTGATTAGAAATGGTTAATGTAAGTAATTAGAGCTATACAGTGTTATTTGCTAGCTGAGCAGAATATAAGAAGCCTGGGCACACTTGCCCCGTTTGTGTTTTTTGTGAGTTTCCATGCCAGCCTCTTTCTGTGATTTGGAATTTGGGTGCTCTAGTTTCCTCCCACACTCCAAAGACATGCTGGAAGGTTAATTGGCTCTGGTCTAAATTGGCCCAGTCTGCATGTGCAATAGGTGTACTTTTTCTTTTTATGGAGTGGAAAGAGTGCTAGCAAGTCCTAGAGGAGGGGATGTCCACCGGAAACTGCTGCAGCGAGAGGCCCTGTGGATCTTCAACTTGAATACTTGGATTCCACAGGGTCTCGATCATCGGTGGGACATTAGTTTACATTAGGGATGTCCCGATACCATTTTTTTTAAGGGCAAGTACAAGTACTTGCCGATACCAATGGACCAATACTTTTTTCTTAAAGGGACATACAGACTAATTATTTTAGGGGAGTTTTTTTTATAATTATAAAATACTGTAACCCAGATCAAACGAAAATATACATTGCCCAGCAATGTATTTGTTTTCATTTTTGCCCAAGCATTTACAGTCCAAACAGCTGGCTCCAACTCTTTTTTTTTTTATCTCGGCTTCCCTGAACTTTCTTTTCAGTACAAGATCACAAGGGACAGAGCAGTCTCCAGAAGTTGTCCATCTACTAGCTTCGAGAAGGAGGTAGTATGTAGGAGTGGGGAGCAGGAAAGTGACTTGTCCTGCTGTCAGGGACACAACTATGGTAAATAGCGTCTGTGGCAAGCACTAAAATTGCACCCTTGTCCAAACATCAGACACCCCAGTTCTGGCACACACAGACACACACTAGGTTGGTGCAAAATAGGGAATGTACAGCACACTGTTCAGAATGAGGCAGTGTGGAATTTAATGTGTACAACAAGGTGTAAAGATGCGGGAGCATGGACTAGGAAATGTACAGCATGGAATATAGAATGAGGTGGTGTGGAATGGGGAGCATACAACATGGCATATAGAATCAGGCAGTCTGGAATAGGGAACATACAGCATGACATTTGGAGTGTACTAGAAGTTTTCTTTTTTTTTTTTTAACACCTTAATAGAATGATGATCGCACTGGCCTGCAATTGATTGCAGTAACAGCTTAGCCTTTCGGTCCCATGGTCAGGGCCCAAAGAGGAGAAGTGTGTACCCCTTTAGCTATATTTTGCTTCATTCAGACCCCCATAGGCATGGACCTGCATCGATTACAGTGACACTGCTGTGCCTTGTAAAACAAGCAGCCGGGGCATAGGAATTCCTAGAATACCCACTTCCTTTGCCAGGCCCTGCGTTAGATGAGTCATTAGTTAGAGCCCAGCAGAGGAAGTGAGTAGTGTAATGTTCTCTACCCCAGCTCTTTATTTACATACGGCAGCAGCAAACAGCTTCTCTGTCTGTTAATGCAGGTCTATGCTAAAGGGATGTTTGAATGGGGGACAGCTTACCTAAAGGGGCAAACCGCGCCACTATCCCTGAGGGATATGGCACCCAAGGTGAGCCCTGCCTGCCATACCCTAGATACGTTGCTGCCTGCTTTGCGTGTGTATTTGAAGAGACACAGCTTACTAGTGCACACAAAGGTGGCTCCATAAGACCTTGCAAGGGAATGGAGCCTCCTTTTAAAACAGGATATCAGAGCCAGCACTCTGGGGATCAGCTGATTCTGCAGGAAACTAAAACTTTTAAACATCAAGGAGCAGCTTCCATTGTAAGTGATATAATCAGCATTGGAAATCGCTTAAAAACATTTTGACTTTATCGCTTTAAGTCAAGTATTGTTGTCAGTGGCCAGCAGGATCCTAAAGGCAATGCTGTGCTTTCACCTGAGTTTGCATAAAGTATATTTGGTGCCTATTGACACTGCAGTGGAAGACATTTTTGAAAAGCTGACAGAAAAGTGTCTGGGCTACTAGCAGGTCAGCAAGTAAATGCCACTGGGCAGAAAGCATAGCTGGTCCTTGACACCTGTGGCTTGGTGTAAAGTGCCATAGAAATTTGAGATCCACTTTTTTATAGGATGATTGTAGTCTGTGGTCAGGCTGCATTACATTTTCTCTAAATTTTGTAAATTTGATATTCAATGTGTTGTAATTTTGGTATATAGTGTATTTGTCTTCAGGTTAAATGCCATTTCTGGAAACAATAAACTGAATGGAATGCCCTGGGCATGATCCACTCCTTTATTTACAACTTCTTTCACAATAGATGGGATTGCCTATTAATAAAGTGAGATTGATATTGCAAAATAATACTTTGAAATGTTTTCTGTTGTCTTCCCAACTGTTTATATACAAATCCCATGGTGAATGTGAAATATTTTAGCTAATCTGTTATATATTATACAATCGTGGGACATTGGATTCATACAGGCCAGCTTGCATGAGAATTCAGGGGGAAAAAAGATGATGTGAATACAAGGGAATGCAGAGCTTCAGATCTTTAAGCATTTTTCTATCAGTTAACAGCTACGTAGAAGGTTGTATAGTAAGTTAAATAAAGAGTATTTTGTTTTACATATTCTTTGTCTTAAAACGGGTTACTCTGCTTTTAAGCAAAGAGAAAAGAAGGGGGAGACGGATACTTTGCCTATGGGGTACCACATCCCATATTTTAAAATGATACAATAAAAGATGGACTTGAAGGTACCCAACAACACTTCACAACAACACTTCACAACAACACTGTACAAAAATGGTGGCCTCTAAATATTGAATTCACCTAGTCAATGTGTGAACAAGAATGTTTTAAATTGTGTGTGTGTGTATGTATGTATGTACACTGAGTGGCCAGATTATTATGACCACCTGACGTTTGTAGGCAAATTAGCTATAATTTTGCGCTGAAGTTGCTAGAGGGCCAGACCATTATAAATAGGGAAGCAGGTTGTTTACCACGACAGTAGAAGTGATTTTGTTCTGAAGATATGGGTAAATAACTCGATTTAACAGCCTTTGAATGTAGGATGATTGTTGGCGTGAGCCATGGAGCGAGTATCAGCAAAACAGCAGAAATAGTGAAATGTTCAAGTGGGGCTCGTTGTTAAAGTGTTTAAAGACTGGACTGTCAGCCGAAAATCTGAGTCTGAATGTGCGACTTGTGGCCGTCTTACTCTGCTTAACCTTTCAAATATCTGGGTGTGGTGCAAAAGTTCAGCAACTCACAAAAAAATTGATAAAAGACATTTTCTTGGTTTGGAATCAAGATGTATTGCAGATGATAAACTGGATAAGTACAGTACCATACCAATCCAGGGAGCCCGTGACTTCTTTTTATGGATGTTCCTGGAAGCAAGTCTTCTTTTTTTTTTTTTTTT